TCAAGACGTGCATGATTTGCAAAAACACAGAAGAAACTGGTGTCCTGTAAAGTCTTCAGTGTGTCCACCGGGAATACCCCAAGTTAAAAGGAAGAGGGAGGAAGACGACAACTTCTCTCCTGTGAAGGCACCGCGTACACTGTCAGATTGTGACTATTGCGGTCAAGTGTTTAGCAATAACCACAACTTACAAAGACATTTACACGATAAACAATGTCCTGAAATGGAAAATGATGATGATGATGATGAATCATTAAACGAAGTCTCACAAAACAACAGGAAAAAAAAGATGGCTGATCTCGAAGAGCAAGGTATAAGACAAATGTATTCACGTACACGTGAGCTGAATAAAGACTTTTTGGATGAGAAACGACAGCTGTACATGAAAAGAGGTTTAAACGAAGACACGATTCAAGCCAAACTGAACAAATACATGTGGAGCACGTTTAAAGAGACGTATGCCTGGTTTATTACTTATCTGTTCCATATGCAGTATGGTCCAAAGACACAAGGAATACTGAAACAAGTAGGAGACACAAATAATCTGTATCATGATGTGTTTTCCAATCTGTACCAATATAAGTCTTGGGTCGAAGGCTTGACCGAAGATGATAATGCAGACATAACATCTGATGAAGAGAGTGAAGGCCATGACGATTAGGAACGGTGATAAGACAACAGATGTAAAGTAAACTTCTAGGAGCGCTCCTATCCCGTAGTTGTACTCGTTTGAAACGGAGCTAATAAAAAAATGAAAATCAGTTTATCTTGTTTTTTTGTGATGTATACCTCGTTGGGAGCCACATTAACTTAGTGCGCCTAGTGGCAGCAAGATGCTCCCCGGGGAGTTGAGAATGGTGATTGACATCCAAGGAAAACGTTACCAGCCCTTTGAGCATGCATGCGGTATGGACTATAGTGCTATATAAATACCCATATGAAAATAATATACACCTGTGAATTGTCATTTATGATTACTCTTTCATGCTAACACTATACAATTACACCCCTTTCCTGATGGAATTTTAGAAAGTTGAAAGTTGCATTCCTAAATATGATGTACAAAAACCCCATGACCAGAACGCACATTTCAAAGCTGACACGCCCTAGCAAGCGTTGATTCTAACGAGCATTTTTATTTATGGGTGTTTTACACTCACGAGAAATGTCGTCAGGCTATAACTGTCGACAGAAACCTCCCTCCCTCTGCCACAGCAGTGCCCCCGTCCCTCCCCTACCCCTCCCGCCACAGCATAGTCCCACACACGCAAATGTGGGTCACCAGATCGCGTCTCTGCTAGCACTGTGAGAGGGAGAGTATTTTGCACAACACAATCCCAGATATAACATATGTTCTATTTACATGGAAGGTGCAATATTAGTCTCATGTGTTTTGGTGGTTGATTCATTCAATACAATCACAAACATATGGGATTTGGGTATAACATCTCAATATCATCCCTGATTCCTAAATTTATCGCATTACAAGGCAGGATACAATGACAATATGGATTGGATATTCAAATATGGAATGTGAATACCGGTAAGTTTGAAATACATTTGAAATTCTATTGAGTTGGGTTGTTCTGGTGATGGTCAAGACAAACTCAAATCATTTTCATGTGGCAATGAACGCTGATTGCATTGAACAAATGTGTTATAAAACCCGTATAATTTCTTTTACACATATGAGTGCACATGTTAGACTAGACTAATGTTTAGTCTCTGAATGTATTATCTTGATAGTAACAAACAAACCTATTTAAATTGACAAGGAGCCCAAGGCAGACCTGGGGAAATCTAGACTTCATTTAGAGCCTTAGCAGTGCAGGGAGGGCTAGGCTGTAGGCAAAATAATATGGGTCAGACACGTGAGACAGGCTAATGTTAGACCCACGATTTTGAGTACAACTTGAGGAGGTATCATATTACACCTCGGCTGAGTGAGACGAGGGAAGTGTGTGGAGGCTGCGACTGTTAATTCACCATGCCTCAACGGTGCGCGCTCTGAGATGACAGATTTTCTCCACAGGCCGCAGAAAAGGTTATTGAGTATAGAAAATATAAACATTTTGTAAGAGGACAAAATGATAACTTCAACTGACTGTCAGAGGGTTTTTTTAATAGGTAAAATTGAAACCGGACGAAACTAGTTTGTGGTCAGTGGTCCAGTGAACCCCGATAGTTGTTCTACGCTGATTGGCCTAAATTAATGGCGTGATGTCATGGTGTGATGCTATGATGTGTTTCCCACGGGACGCGCGGTCGTTGACCCCTCGGTCAGGGTGAGTCACACCGGAGTGAGTTGGCTGTATGCTGATTGGTCCAAATTAATGGCGTGATGTCATGGTGTGATGCTATGATGTGTTTCCCACGGTCATTCACACCCTTGTGAAATGAGGTCAGCCAGGTGTTCGATGATGACGTCATAAAATCAAAATGGCGGATATAGGGCTATTTCAACCTGTATACAACACCTGACCATGTTTGTTGTAGCACCTGTATCTAAAGTCAGTCTCACAGGGTGTATTGAGGAACGGCGACTGGATGACGTCAACGCGGCCAATAACGGGTTGATCAAGCTGGACACTGGGGTCCTGGTCGTCGCTATCAGACGTCCCCTCACCATAGAATGTGTCACCCTGGACTGGGTCATCAACATCCACAAGACGAGAGCGGCCATACATCTGCCGTCTGTAAATATCAGGTACATATCTACAGTCCTTTAAGTAATGAGTATTGTATGCTGGTCTCCCTGCTGACTTGCACAAGACACACACGTTTTGTTGACGAGGCTTGAAATTGTTACTTCTAGGTTTGTCACTAGAAAATGCTGCGGCTCTCATAGCTTTCGTGTCCTCAATGCTGTTTAGCTCATCCATCAATGTAGAGATAGCCCGGGAGATTTCTGGTTTCAGAGATGCAAGCGTCTGATTTCTCAATTCAGCTCCATATTTTTGCTTCACTAACTGGGGGAGTTGAGGATGGAAAAGCTGTTGCCATAACACAACGACCATGTTCTCTAGTGTTGGGGTGAGGTCTTCATCTTGGTCAACTTCATCACCACGGTGAGTGATACCAGAACGGTTAGTAAGTAAATTATCCTCTACAAATGCCACCAGACGCTGATAGAGATCTTCATAGCGCTCATTAGGCTGCATCTTGATGTCAACAAGGTTGAGAAAATTAGCTCCCGTTGACTGGAATCCGTAGTGGTGTCTAATCTTTTGCCAGATATCTTGAACAGATGTTGAATTCTTGATTATGGAGTTCCTGCTAATGACAGTACAGTAATTAGCTATCTGCCCTAGCATAAGTTCAGCCGTTTTGCGCTGTATTTGCGATACATCTTCACCATCATTCTGCAATCCTCTCAATGGGTTAGCTGCAGTTTTCTTCAGCCATGCGCTGCCCTCAGCGAGAGGAAGGGGGCAAAATTTGCATCTAAAGATAAGATGTACACTTAATTCTGCCTCCAGTTTTCCAAAGGAGTTAATTGTCTCATTCTTTGTGAATTGCCACTGCTTCGGGACTCGGACGTTAGCCATGTTGGTAAGATTTTACGAGAGCTACTATTAGTAAGGTAACGATACACGTAGCTTGAGTGACCGATGCATTGTTCACGGTTAAATTCGAGGTTTACACACCTGTACCTGATAACTTGTATTATGATCTCTGTGTTGAAATCTGTACTAGCGTAGGTTAACCGCTGCCACCACGCCAATGAGGACGAGATCCCTATCTCTTCCATTTAGGTTTAATACTCCATGAAGTCGCACCCATAAACCGAAACAACCGGATAATACAAAAACAGAACTCAAAAACAGCATCAAAAATTAAAAGAAACTCGCGTTGGTTTAATTTATAGATTGTTCCCGTCACGATATGGCTGAAATACTGCCGATGTGACCTTAAATGTCAGCTGGGGCGGTGGGGTAGCCTAGTGGTTAAAGCGTTCGCTCATCGCGCCGAAGACCCGGGTTCGATTCCCCACATGGGTACAATGTGTGAAGCCAATTTCTGGTGTCCCTCGCCGTGATATTGCCGTAATATTGCTAAAAGCGGCGTAAAACTCAACTCAGTCAGTTAAATATTAGCTCACTCACTCAAAAGACACTCAGGGGAGATTCTCTGTTTCTCCCGCAAACACTTTCAGTTGGTATCCTTTGCATGTTTTAAATGTGTAAGTGTTATATGATAATAACCAATTATCCCCAGTAAGTAATACCAACTGAAAATACTTCCCTGAAATTTTGCTGAACTTAGCCCACATCCTGTCACCACTGCCGATGCTCATGCTTTTGATCACTCGATTGTCTGGCACAGACTCGGTTATTTCCAGGTTTTGTGTTTGTTTTGCAGCTATATGGCTGAGATCTGTAAGTATTCGTGTTTGGACCAGACAATCCAGCGAGCAGCAGCATGAACATCAATCTATGCAATTGGGATACGATGGCATGTGTCGATTGTTTCCAGCCCGTCGCCCTATACATGGAATATTGCTGAGTCCGGTGTTAAATCACCAAAACAATGATTATCACCACTGTCAATGTTAGCTAATGGTGTTGGCAGTCTCCATGCTTCTGAATAGTTATATGAAACCAGATGACAGTCACGATCGGTGATGTGGTTTACATTAACACGTAGATTTACTGCGATGGACCTGGTCGTCAACCGCCTATAAAATACGTGACTACAATTCTGGGTTGGAGACGACCCGTGAAGGTCCGGGTTAGAATTGGTCTTCAGTATCCCATGCTTGTCGTAAGAGGCGACTAACGGGATCGGGTGGTCAGGCTCGCTGGCTTGGTTGACACATGTCATCGTATCCCAATTGCGCAAATCGATGCTCATGCTGTTGATCACTGGATTGTCTGGTTCAGACTCGATTATTTACAGACAGCTGAGTATTGCTGAGTGCGGCGTAAAACTAAACTCACTCACTAAAATGATTATCATTATCATAGTTTAAAAGCAGGCATATCAAAGTACAAACAACATTTTAAGTAGAAAAATATTTTATGTTAAAAAATATATTTGGCTGAATATACATCTAGAAGATGTTACAAGTTGATGAGATATACATGGAATGTGGTTACTGGAAGGTTCGGTTACTTGGAAGTAACATGTTACTTACTTGGAAGTATCATGTTTAGATTTAGGGCAATGTTTCGGTTCGCCGTCAACCATCTTGCCCAAGGTTTGTTCTCAGTTATTCATTACTACTGGATGTTCTTCCCATACCAAGTATCAATAACGGCTTCAATTTCAGCACTAGATACTGTTTTGTCACGTCTCAGCACAGGAGATTGTCCCCAATTCAGGACTCAAATGGACTTCACCTTCACTACTGACATGGAGCTTCTTTTCACAGCTGCTCATTACCACGGGCGCTTCTTGTATAAATATGACCTTCACCTTCTAGCTTCTGCTCTCAGTCACACATCATTGATGGACATCATTTTGATACAGGTATAAATAACCTTAAGTTACTAATATCTAACCTCTTTACTTTTTCATAATTAACACCATATGTTCACTTAAAAGATCCCTCACCTTAAGTACTAAGTGGATCCTCTGTTCTCAATCACATATGAATATATTATTATTATTAGGCTAATATTTGTATATTTGTTGTATGGTCCTCAGGGAGTTGAGATTGATAATACAATGTGCCGCTTGAGATTGAAATCCAATGATCGAGGGAAAACAGCTGAGCTGAGCTGGATATTGGCGCTATACAAATATTCACATAAAAATAATAATGATAATAATTATATGAATGTAGTCCTCTTGGTGCAGACATGGAGATTCTGTTTCAATTATTATCACTGGATGACCATTATGAATTGAAACTAGTTTTAGTCACGATATGACTGAAATATTGCCGATGTGACTTGAAATTGTAACTCACTAACTCACTCACTGGATGACTGGATACAAATGTGGCCTAAATGTAAGGTATAAATATAGCCTTCACTTCAGCACTGACATTACCCAGCTTCGGGTCACAGTTACTGAACACTGGGTGTTGCAGCAGCTTTTGAAATACTTCCAGTTAAAGTTCTTCTTTTAAGCTTATTCAGTTTTGTCAGAACGATACATTCACACACATTAGCCAATAGAGGCTTTCACAAGTGGTATCCTGGAATACAGATTTCCATACGGTCTTCAGCTACTGCACTAACATCTAGATTCTGCCTTCAGTCACACATCACCCCTGATGTTCTTGGAATACAGATTTCTATGTGGTCTTCAGCTACTGCACTAACATCTAGATTCTGCCTTCAGTCACACATCACCCCTGATGTTCTTGGAATACAGATTTCTATGTGGTCTTCAGCTACTGCACTAACATCTAGATTCTGCCTTCAGTCACACATCACCCCTGATGTTCTTGGAATACAGATTTCTATGCGGTCTTCAGCTACTGCACTAACATCTAGATTCTGCCTTCAGTCACACATCACCCCTGATGTTCTTGGAATACAAATTTCCATATGGTCTTCAGCTACTGCACTAACATCTAGATTCTGCCTTCAGTCTCACATCACCCCTGATGTTCTTGGAATACAGATTTCCATATGGTCTTAGCTACCGCACTAACATCTAGATTCTGCCCTCAGTCGATCATTATCACTGATGTTCTTCCAATATCGGTATCTATATGACCTTGATTTTCAGTACTGACGTTAGCGTCTGTTCTACGTCACTCTCTTATTGGGTATTCTTCCTCCCACAGTCATCAGTATGGCTCTCATCTTTGTACTATGATCTCATCTTGGTCAGTCAGAAACTTAGATCCTTCATCCACTGCTTCATCCGCAGTCACGGTAATGTCTTGGTTAATATTTGGCATCAGTTTCTTGTCCACCCTTTGGACTAGCGGTATGAGCATGATCAGCATGCTAGATAGCAGGAACATAGATGCTAAAAGAAAGAAAGGTGTACAGGGGTTTAGTCAGAGATGCAATCATCCAATACACTTACACGTTCGTCAAGTCAATTGAACAAATCAAATTTATACAAAATTCGTGTAAAAAGGTTTTTTTTACAAAGGTTTTGGAAATATTAGTGCCGGAAATATGTAGGAGAAAATAATCTTTTACTGGATTAATGTAATGTAAATGAGATACCAAACACTGCGAATTTTCTCAAAGGTTCATTATCGAGAAATAGAAATGAAACGAACAATGTCGAAAATGGGAATACGGAAATGAAACCGAACTACCCACGTCACAGCACAATGTCACTGAACGAATCCGTTCGGGGCGATGGGGTAGCCTAGTGGTCTAAGTGTTGGCTCGTTACGCCAAAGGTCTGGGTCGATTCCTCACACGAGTAAATTGTGTCCACTTCTGGTGTCCTCCGCCGTGATATTGCTGGAATATTGCTAAAAGCGGCGTAACACCAATACTCATTTACTTACGAATCCATTCAACGATACACGTTACATAATTGGCCTACAACATTCAGCCCTAAAACATTGCGAACGTGTTGCGAATTGTGATTCGAACTGATACATTATATCCATTGAAAAACATGGACGCAATGTTTCCACCACTGATGTTAGCCAAGTGAAGCAACTGCAAACAAAGAAAAGGGTGCTACGGAGTAGTTTACTGTACGAGGCGATGACAACTGACATGCATCGTGACGTCGGTTACCAATGGGATAGACGAGAATGGCGTAGTGACGTCAATACAGTGTGACGTCATGCAAAAGTGACTACAGAACAAAATTCTTCCGCAACCCCTTTATGCAACCGGTTTCGGTTTGAAACCATAACAATAAAAAAAATACACTATTTTGTCAATTTAATGCATGTAAGACGAGTGTAATAAATACCATAGGAAGGACACTCGTTTCGTATAATTCGTATGTAATGAGACCTCGTGTAGTATTCTCTATATACTTGCCTGCAAACAAATAGCTTTCTCTGTACGTTGCTCCTCCATCAACTATGGCTCCTGAATAGAACGAACATGGTACCTGGTCAGATTTTGCAATTGTTATGTTGCCATTTTTCTGATTTTACGTGCGTAAGCGTCTGTCGGTACTGCTGGTTATGCCGTCTATCATTACATTGCAGTAGCTTTTGAAACACTCCAACTTAAAATTATTCTTTTGAGCTTTGTCAGTTTTGTCTAAACGATTCATTCAGACACATTAGCCAAAAGCGGCTTCACAACTGGTAATACAGTAGTAGTTTACTGTACAGTTACAGCACATATATTCATGCAGGAAGAAATCCTATCGGAACAAAAGGTTTATACTTTTAGTGAGATTCTTACGAGGACAAAATTGAATCAAAGTGAAAAAGAAGAATCTATTGTGTGCTATTTTCGTGTGTCCTGTGGAAACTTTGCAGAATCGTCAAAGGGCTAAAATTCCATCTTTAGCCTCCAATGATTAGAGAGCCAACACCAACCACAACCGCTATGTATAACTCACTTTGATCAAATGCATAAGGGATAATAATGCAATACGGTAAAAGGCAAAATAACCATTACCTGCAACAGGAGGTCCAGTTATGTATCCGATTCCAGCAGTGCAGTATACCATGCCGAATCCCAGTGCTAGATCCTCTTGATCGAGCAGCAGAAACAGTATTGGCGTCAATAGTGTATTTACTCCCCCGATGTACATCCCCGTTACAGTAGCATACACCATCTGCCCAGCATACGTGTGAGAGTACAACGGGAGGAGTGATGTAAAGATGGATGCCACGCCCATTTGTCCCATGTGGAGAATGAGACTACTCACACGTTCGTCATTGGCCGCCAGTCCCGTGAAAAGCCTGGACAATACGTTGAATATACCCATAATTGTAAATAAGAAAGCGGCCTCTTGTTTTGATGAACCCTGTTGTATAGAATAGTTTGGAAGATGCAACAAACATGCTGACTCTGCACAATTCCACCCAAAGATGCTGAGGACGTATAACAAAAAGCCATAGTTCTTCCACACCCTGGAAGAGCATCTCCCACCCATCCTTTCCTTCGTCTTCATCCACATTCTTGTCACAAGAAGCGCACGTGGATGAGTTTCTGAAAGTTGACTGCTTGCTGATTTGGATTTGCTGTCATTTTCCAAGGGTCTCATTAAAGAACCGAACACACAGAAATGGAAGGCAATCCCTCCGATGACAAGAAAAGCACCGTGAAGACCGTACTCGTCAATGAGGAAGCGAATGAGAGGAGGACCAACAAACATTCCAAGACCAGCTCCTGCCATTGTAATACCAGCTGCTACGGGACGCAGTTTCTTAAAGTACAAACCGACCATCACATTCCCTGGCAGAAATCCAAAGCCATATCCGATACCTAGAGTAAAACACTAGATTCAGCTTTAAAGTAATAAACCAAATCTAGGCAGGGTCTTGTAAAGAGACATATTCAATGACACGAATTTCTTTGGATGCATCCCGATCAAGTCCCTATATTTCCTTGCCTTTGCATGTGTTTTGTACGGATAACATATGAGGGATAGGAGGCGCCACCTGTCAGCGTAAACACGATATCGTCACTATTTGATTTATAAACACATACTTATGGTGTAGTTGGTACAGGAATCAAGAAAAGGAAGAAGAATTTGAGGAGATTCTGTAGCGTCACATATCAATTCCACATCTCCGAATATTATTAGAATCCTTAGTTTTAATTAACATTTAGAGCAATTGATCAACGAAATGAAACCTAAAACCACAAACTAACTGGCCACTTTTAAAAAAAATATTTTCTTTTTTTATCCTCCAGCAGTTAGAAGATAAGGATGATGTTCCAATGAATCCGAAATTTACTAATAATATTAGCACATGATTATGTTTAAATGTTGAAATGAAAAAACAAACCTACTGGCTACTTTTTGTGGGGTATTTTTATCCTTCAACATCTAAGCGATAATTATGATGTTCCAATGAATCCGAAATAAAACTGAACCAACAATAAAAGCAGGGGATTTTGTTTTAATGTTGACATGAAAAAATGAATAAATAACACTTCGTGCTGGCGATCTAACCCGAAAGGATTTCAAAAGACAAAAGAAACATACCACTCAAAATTCCAAAGGTTCCCATCATGGTCGATAGATTCTTTGACATCGATGCACCTACCAGTCCAAGCATCGCAACGACACCTCCAAATATCGTACAACAGCGACATCCCACTATGTTAATACCAATGCCAATGAAAGGACCTGGAACATATAGACCTTATAAATATAACAGAGCTACAGATAACGTTTTGGGTCATTGAGATATGTACTCGCTTGTGTTCATCTCAATTGGGTATCCTAATTTTCCTTTGAGTAAACAAATAAATTGTACCCAACTCACTCAAACTCAGTTGGGTATTTTCCATTTTCCATTAATAATAAAAATATAATATAGTTTAAATTTTGGTTTATGTGTTTGTTATTTAAACATGATCTGCAAGATGAGAAACGATAGGAAAGACAAAGAGTTGCCAAGTTCTTCTGCTAAAAAAGAAGCTCTCAATATGCATTAGTTATTTGATCTATCCTCAGTAACCTCAATGCTAAGATTTGACATTTTTGTGTGTACGCATGTAAGATGAGTATTGAGTATTTACAAAAGTTCAAGCGTACTTGTACGCAACAGAACTAATAGGAATTGAGCTTTCACATAAATACATGTACTTTCATAATTTTAGCAGGTACTCAGCTTATCTGTACCTCTGTATAATTATGCATTATTACAGGTACGTAAAGGCACTATGTGAACGAATATGCGGTGTTGTAGTCAGTTCGATCTGAAATAGTTACAAGTGACTATCTCATTGAACCTATGCCTGGGCAGCCAACACAAGATCCCTAGTTCGTTAGTTCGATTCTCACCTTTTGCACTTATTATGATCCAGAGAATGTCAGTGCATTACTGAAGTGCTTCACGCCGTTGGTATACAGCGTGCATCGTTTTTTTCATAATATACACATGAAAGAAAGTATCGCAACATGTCTAAAACCCTAAATAGTCACTTATATTCAAATCATAATTATGTTTGTATCCTTATTTTGTCCCTTCGGGCGCACCATTCATTGATTTGGGATGTGTACGCTCGAAGGCGTACATATCATCAAGCAAATATCCTGTTTAAGTAAAAGTTAAGTATTATTACAGCTCGTTAACTTGGACAATCAATTTCTCTGTTGATAAGCAGATATTTGACGTTTGTCACTAAGGTGAAACTAATGAGGACAGGGCGTGGTGATGACGACAATAGAAACGTAATCGTGTATTCGAACCATGATCGTAGGGTACTGGTTACACTACGGATGCCACTCGCCACATCCGGATTCTGATCTCAAGGCCTTGAATGACTGGACCAAGCCGTACTTCGAACTGAATTGCCGTTATATGCACGCCACCAAGGCGACTCATATTTCACTTATAAATAACTTGATCAGTCAACTAGTTGTGGGTGAATGAGTTTAGTTTTACGCCGCTTTTAGCAATATTAAAACAATATTACGACGGGGACAGCAGACAAAGGCTTCACACACATGTGGGGGGTATGATAGCCTAGTGGTTACAGCGTTCGTCTTCACACCGAAGCCCTGGGTTCGATTCCCTGCCCGGGTACAATGTGTGAAGCCCATTTCTTGTGTCCCCCGCCGTGATATTGCTGGAATATTGCTTAAAGCGGTGTAAAACCATACTCACTCACTACATATCAAGCACACAGGACGTCGTTAGCAGAACGGTTTTGTGTCGAGGTATATCATGTAGATGTGGATATTCATTCAGAGGTGTTGGTTAGCCAAGTGGTTAAAGCCATCGCGCCTCACGCCGAGGTTCGAGTTCAATTCTTCACTTATTTACGGAGCCTATGTTTGGTTTGGTTTTGATACTGCTGGAGTTTAACTAAATACCGGGAATAACCGTACTCACTCACTAAGTCTTCTAACATTCTTTTCATTTTGCTTCAAGTCTTTAATGCGACATGTATCGGGAAGAAAACTTAAAGGGTATATCATGCGTAAAAATAATTGCATGTATATTCATTTGATGGATCTGAACATTGTATTTGCTTGGTTGAACGCCAGCTTTATGTGGAAACTTCAAAAGTGCAAGGGAAGGATATTACTGATTTAGTAATGTACGTTAATGTCTCCAGACTGAACTAACAAGTCATTAGCTATGTTTTTAATGAATTCAGCAGTACATATTATAAAGGAAATAGAATTATGATGTGTGAATATACAGTTCTATTAAGCTACAAGGATTAGTTTTAACTTTACATGCTAGTTTTTATTCTCACTGTGATAGTATAGTTGTTTTAATGTCCTTTGACGACAGATTTCATAACATACACATATTCTTTATCAACGTCAAATTTGTTCTCGTCACGATATGGCTGAAACATTGCCGATGTGACGTTAAATATGTCATAGCCATGTCTCCAGTTTTCATGCAGCACACTATTAACTTCATAAATACATTGATGAAAACCATATTTACGGAGTGAAAACAATTATTTAAGTTTAGTCTAAGTGATGATAACGTACTTTACAAGAACGTTTAGTTTTTTACACAAGAATCATTGATCTTTCTACTCATTTTATGGGTCAACTAGAGTCCATGCAGGTAGTAAAAGTAATGTAAGTCCCCATAGTTCCTAGTATGGTGCTCTACCTTCAGTTGTTGGAGATCTATAGGCCGTGTTTTCTATTGTATTGTCTTCTTCAATTAAAATGTTTCAGATTTACATGCTAGTTTTATATTCATATCTGTGATACTCTAGTATGTTTACTGTCCATCGTCGACAGATTTTACTCTTTAAAATGTTTTCATTTTTATTGTATAAATTGTTTTCGTCACGACATGGCTGATTTATTGCCGATGTGACGCTAAATACTAACTCACTCACTCAATGGCTGGTTGAACTCACCCAACAAATTTTCGATGCCGATAATAGACGTTCCAACTGCAGCAGTGCTAGCAAGGTCGCCGTCAAACTCTTCCAGCAACGCTTCGGCGATAACGCCCACGGAGTAGCACATGAATCCATTCAGAAACATGCAGCAGAAGCCACATGTCAGGATGACCCAAGCCCAGCCTCCGTCGATGTTCTTGGCTGCACTCGCCATATCAACTTACCGCTGAAAATATACACGAGTTAATTAACGCCACGCATTTTTCCAATCAAATGATGGTTGTCTGTAAATAACCAAGGTTGAACCAAATAAATCGAGGGTTTGCCATCATAATTACAGATGAACGCAACTGACATCATCTTTAGCGTTAACCCGCAATAAGCCTTACTATCCGATCGATTTAGGTGTATTCTACGACGAGCATAGGTTTCTGAGGACCTAATTCCTACCTTCAGCCTCACTGGGCTTGGGGTCGGTGGGGAAGCCTAGTAGTTAGGCGTTCGTTCGTCACGCCGGAGACCCGGGTTCGATTCCCCACATGGGTATAATATGTGAAGCCCATTTCTGGTGTCCCCCCGTCGTGATATGACTGGAATATTGTTAAAAGTGAGTGTGTGAGTTTAGTTTTACGCCGCTTTTAGCAATATTCCTGTAATATCACGGCGGGAGACACCAGAAATAGGCTTCACACATATGACGAGCGAACGCCTTAACCACTAGGCTACTCCACCGCCCCTACTGCTAAAAGCGACGCAAACCCATACTCACTCACTCAATGGGCTAGATGTTAGATGAGTACAAAGTCTCAATATGCCAAGAGGTATGAGCTTGCATACACAGCATATATATTACCGGCCTGTCTCTCATTTAGAGAAAATCATGTTCCACAAATTACTAAAAATACAAATGGTGTCAACCGTTAGGCTCCTCTTTTCATTACAGATTTGTGCGTAAGATACATGTGTTTACAACACGAGGGAAATGTCATTATGATTCATACATCTTCTTTTCGAGAGATATCCAGAACAATACGTGTACATCGACGACAAAGATATTACCAGATGCCAGGTTCCCAAACACTGAGATATGTCAAATTCGTTGCAAGATTCACACTACCTCACAGATATGTTTATATGATGCATACATTCGTCAATACAGAAACATGTCCATGATAATTACACAAACGCTCGTCATGACAGAGATAGGTCAATAAGATGCATACACCCGTCATGATAGAGATAGGTCAGCAAGATGCATACACCCGTCATGATAGAGATAGTTCAATAAGGTCCATACACTCGACATGACAGAGATATGCGTGTAAAATACATTCAGTCGTTGTGACAGAGGTAAACTTCCACCTGCCATACTGGAGATGTATCAATAATACACCTACTTCTGCCATACTAGAGACACGTCAATAAGACACCTACACCTGCCATGTTAGAGGCACGTCAATAAGACACCTACACCTACCATGCTAGAGAAATGTCAATAAGACACCTACCCCTACCATGCTAGAGAAATGTCAATAAGACACCTACACCTACCATGCTAGAGAAATGTCAATAAGACACCTACACCTGCCATGCTAGAGAGATGTCAATAAGACACCTACATCGGCCATGTTAGAGGCACGTCAATAAGACACCTACACCTGCCATGTTAGAGACATGTCAATAAGACACCTACACCTGCCATGTTAGAGAGATGTCAATAAGACACCTACATCTGCCATGTTAGAGACATGTCAATAAGACACCTACACCTGCCATGTTAGAGACATGTCAATAAGACACCTACACCTGCCATGTTAGAGACACGTCAATAAGACACCTACATCTGCCATGTTAGAGACACGTCAATAAGACACCTACACCTGCCATGTTAGAGACATGTCAATAAGACACCTACACCTGCCATGTTAGAGAGATGTCAATAAGACACCTACACCTGCCATGTTAGAGACATGTCAATAAGACACCTACATCTGCCATGTTAGAGACATGTCAATAAGACACCTACATCCGCCATGTTAGAGACATGTCAATAAGACACCTACACCTGCCATGTTAAAGACATGTCAATAAGACACCTACATCTGCCATGTTAGAGACATGTCAATAAGACACCTACATCTGCCTTGTTAGAGGCACGTCAATAAGACACCTACACCTACCATGCTAGAGAAATGTCAATAAGACACCTACATCTGCCATGTTAGAGAAATGTCAATAAGACACCTACACCTGCCATGTTAGAGGCACGTCAATAAGACACCTACACCTACCATGCTAGAGAAATGTCAATAAGACACCTACATCTGCCATGTTAGAGACATGTCAATAAGACACCTACACCTGCCATGTTAGAGACATGTCAATAAGACACCTACACCTGCCATGTTAGAGAAATGTCAATAAGACACCTACACCTGCCATGTTAGAGACATGTCAATAAGACACCTACATCTGCCATGTTAGAGACACGTCAATAAGACACCTACATCTGCCATGTTAGAGACATGTCAATAAGACACCTACACCTGCCATGTTAAAGACATGTCAATAAGACACCTACATCTGCCATGTTAGAGACATGTCAATAAGACACCTACATCTGCCATGCTAGAGACATGTCAATAAGACACCTACACCTGCCATGTTAAAGACATGTAAATAAGACACCTACATCTGCCATGTTAGACACACGTCAATAAGACATCTACATTTGCCATGCTAGATACACGTCAATAAGACACCTACATCGGCCATGTTAGAGGCACGTCAATAAGACACCTACATCTGCCATGTTAAAGACATGTCAATAAGACACCTACATCTGCCATGTTAGAGACACGTCAATAAGACACCTACAACTGCCATGTTAGAGACATGTCAATAAGACACCTACACCTGCAATGTTAAAGACATGTCAATAAGACACCTACATCTGCTATGTTAAAGACACGTCAATAAGACACCTACACCTGCTATGTAAGAGACACGTCAATAAGACACCTACATCGGCCATGTTAGAGGCACGTCAATAAGACACCTACATCTGCCATGTTAGAGACATGTCAATAAGACACCTACATCGGCCATGTTAGAGACACGTCAATAAGACACCTACATATGCCATGTTAGAGACATGTCAATAAGACACCTACATCTGCCATGCTAGATACACGTCAATAAGACACCTACATATGCCATGTTAAAGACATGTCAATAAGACACCTACACCTGCCATGTTAGAGACATGTCAATAAGACACCTACACCTGCCATGTTAGAGAAATGTCAATAAGACACCTACATCTGCCATGTTAGAGACATGTCAATAAGACACCTACACCTGCAATGTTAAAGACACGTCAATAAGACACCTACATCCGCCATGTTAGAGAGATGTCAATAAGACACCTACACCTGCCATGCTCGAGACACGTTAATAAGACACCTACATCTGTCATGTTAGAGAGATGTCAATAAAACACCTACACCTGCCATGCTCGAGACACGCCAATAAGACACCTACACCTGCCATGTTAGAGAGATGTCAATAAAACACCTACACTTGCCATGCTAGAGACACGCCAATAAGACACCTACATCCGCCATGTTAAAGAGATGTCAATAAGACACCTACACCTGCCATGCTAGATACACGTCAATAAGACACCTACATCGGCCATGTTAGAGGCACGTCAATAAGACACCTACATCTGCCATGTTAGAGAGATGTCAATAAAACACCTACACCTGCCATGCTCGAGACACGCCAATAAGACACCTACACCTGCCATGCTAGAGACACGCCAATAAGACACCTACACCTGCCATGTTAGAGACACGCCAATAAGACACCTACATCTGCCATGTTAGAGACACGTCAATAAGACACCTACATCTGCCATGTTAGAGAGATGTCAATAAGACACCTACATCTGCCATGCTAGAGACACGTTAATAAAACACCTACACCTGCCATGCTAGAGACACGTCAATAATATAACTACACTCTCCATGCTAGAGACATGTCAATAAGACACCGACACCCTCTATGCTAGAGACATGTCAATAAGACACCGACACCCTCCATGCTAGAGACACGTCAATAAGACACCTACACCTGCCATGCTGGAGACACCTCTTCGAATTGCACAATTCAAAACTGACTAAATGCAACATCACCATTCCATTAGTCGTCTCTTGTTATCTCTGTCTTGGGTTTGGTAGACTGTCAGTTTTACCTGAAGTCATGGCGATGCATACTATAGAAATGATCCCTAAAAGAATGATTTATGAATCTGCATTCACAAATGTGACAGATTAAACCACTTGTACCCAGTTGCAATGTCAGGCATGGCATTACCAACCGAACTGCCCGAACATCAATCCTAATTGTGTGCAATTATATGTGCAAGCAACATGGTTACTATGAATCCGGGGGACAGCCAGTCTCGATCACACGGAAAAAACAAACATTCCATCGGACGCGACAAAAAAAAACCCCAACAAACAGCGATGGCAATTATATACTCATTATAACGGATCACTTGAGGACAACCGTCTCGACAGTCGCCGAAAAAAATGGCATAACTCGTTAAGCAAAGTAGTACTATTTACATGAAACGACCACTGGAAACCAGCGTTGACACCAGGTGTTCACGAAAATGGTAAGCATGCTCTACTATATCAGCACAAATGACTACCATATAGGAAATGGAGTCAGTATAATTTGTTAGAGCGGGGTATTCACGCTTAACTGCGGCATGGTATCTCAGTGAGCTGTCACTATAAACCTAGCTGGGCTAGTACAAGCAGCCATTTATACATACGCATGCACGTCGTCATATGAGCGAAATATTCTTAAGTGCGACGTTAAACCCCATTTCACCTCACCTACAAACATAACATAAAGTGATAATTTCACTCACCGTATCCCGAAAGTCGTTGGAATTCACGATTCCTTTTCAAATATATCTCTTCCTCACTCGTTTACAGTAGACAATATACTCGCTTTAACCATTCGTGAAACACCGTAAGTAGTCTTACAACATTACAACAGCCTGTGTTAAGTTACAGTGCCCTATTTACAGATAATACGCTGATATCTTCTCTGAAAAATTCGGACGCGTTCCCCCATCTTATGTCAATTTGTGTCTGAATGGAAGGTTCACCAGCTGTAACCTAGTGGCTTGCCAAGCAAATACATTTG